CTTTAGGCCTCCAGTCTGTAAAAGTGCAAGTCGCTGAAGCCGAGAATAGACCACAGTATCTACTGAACCTGCCTTCGACCTCAGTTCCGTGAGGCACACCGCTTCGTAAGACTTGGAAAATTAATCACACCAGACATTTCACATAATGTTCTGACTTGTCAAACATTTAGGTCATGATCCTCCAAATGCTTCGTCGACCTTTTGGTGTAGCTTCCTCAGTAACATGATCCACGTTATCATTGACTGTTTGTTTACCCCATGCTATGTAAGTTTCTAGGATGCCATACTACCTGATACTTCTTGAACGTTTGACTACATCATGTATGGTTTCTCGTGCGTCACAACCTTTCTTGAAACTTTAATCACCTTTACTATGAACCATTCTCATGCCCCATAACTTCTTCATTGTACTGGACCGCTTCACCAACGACATCCTTAGTATCACGGTATTTTCTGATTCCAAGTGCCTCAGTATGACCGGAAGGGGGTTTCTCGGGCTCTGAAATGGTCATTCGTGTCGAAGTCCTGCTCCCAAACGACCAAATATCGTAAATAGCTTCTGCTACCCATTGCCTTCTCGTGGCGGTGTTAACACTAAACTGGGACGGACGGGAATGTCCGGCGTTTTCCTCCGAGTTGACTGACTATTGATATTTAGTTTAGGGACGTTGGCTAAATCCTGATCACAAACCACCCGCACTTGGCGTAACAAGTGGCACCAATCCTTCGGAGTCGACCACCTTGACGCTGACCGGCAAGTGCAAGGCTCGATGGTCATTTGGGTACCCTGGATAGTTGGCCACATCCAAAAGGCGAATGAACTGATCCCCCAGTCACCGGCTCCTAGAGGATCATGGACTCCCTACTCCACCCCACTGCCTTGTGGGCCAGGTTCTCTAACCAAAGGCTTCGGGTAGGCTTCCCAAGAAAACCCTCTACTTCGGCCTGGGCAACCGGGAAGTACCAAGCTCACAATCTAACCATGGACTTGTGCATCCATGCATGTCTTAGAGTTTCACACTCAAGCAAAACTCTCTTCTCAAAATCTACATACAACATTTCCACTCGTTCCCCACACAACAGCCTCATTTTTTCCGCCGTAAGTTCTATCCGAATGGTTCCACTGAGGTAGGCGCCTGTTGTAGCTCGCTGCTAGCCTCCTTTTGATTGGTCTCAGCAGTGCCGTGTCCCTCGGAGCCGGCCGTTCCATTCTTCCGATTTCACTCTGCGATCAAAATGGTTTCATTCAACTTAAGAACTCTTATGCGTATAGCACAACAAGCAGATCTGGGTTGAATTGATGTGTGTTGCGTCTCGGAAACACATTCACAATTCGAGCTTAGTGATCTAATTGGCGTTTCCTCCACATTCAAAAGAAGTGTTCCAACTGCACATTTTCGGGGACTCCGTCGTATTAACGTCCGATTAAAAAGGCGTTGGTATCGCCTTAAGCACTAGAGCCGAGGCTGGTCTATTGGATTGGGTCTCGTTAGATAACCGACAATGCACAAAGGGACTGAAGGTTCAAGTGCAGTCAAAAAGCAGAACCCAAAGGAACGATGCTTATTCGTGGTTTCTGCATACGCTCCCACAGACTGTAGCCCGGGTACAGTCAAAGATACCCACTACCACAATCTACAGGAGCTTCTTCTCGAAGCACCTAAGACGGATATCGTAATTCTGATCGAGACCTAAACGCACGCATTGGCCGTCTGTTACCTGATGAGACCCATCTTGGTGGCCATCATGGCCTTGATAGCTGTCGTTCAGATGATGGGGGTAGATTTATAGGCATATGCTTAGAACATGGTCTGCTCCTCGTTAGCACGAACTTCAGACACCCAAAACGTCAACTCGCCACTTGGCATTACTCCTCTTCGGTGCAGTTGCGGACTCAGATTAATCATATAGCGATTAGCTATGGATGTCGACGGTGTGAAAGATTGCCGTTCGTATTTGTCTACCTACTCGGAGTCCGGCGACGCAGTCGTTTGTGCAAAGTTGTCTATGTGATGTAGTGGCCGCAAAAAGATGAGATGCAAACAGTTTGACGTCACCAAGCTTTCTGATCCGGGCGCGCTAGCCTATTATCAAAACAAGTTGGCCGCAAAGCTAACTAATACGCCATCAAGAAGCGTAGATCAACACTGGACAACCAGTCAAAACACAATGCACTTAGCTAGTTTACACAGTTGTAGCGTGACACGTGGAATTGTAAAACACTGGGTCTCCTCCAACTCTCCCAGATTTCTTAACGCGCGTCAGGCAACCGGGCAAACTGCGAGTACAATGAACAGCGCCTCTCTGAAGCGTGAACACAGAAAGAGTTTCAGAGACGACCGAGAAGCCTAATGGACGCTACGTGCAAAAGAGATGGAATCAGCGGTTAGGTGTAGACAAACCAAGCAACTGTTCCAACTCATCCGTGCTGCGGGCTCCAAAAGACGGTGCGTTGCGAAGTAGACAACACACCAATATGGAGTCTTCACTGACGCTTGGAAGGCAGAGCACTTCATATCGCAATTCAACCAGCCCACCCACCTCCCCGCGCTGGCTGTCTCAAGTAGCTCCCTTGATAGTGCACTCCGGTCACTATCCACGGGATCGCCCACAGAAGCAGCGATCCGAAAGGAACTCCAAGTCCTAAAACGCCCCAAGGTGGCTGGATCCGACAAACTACTACCCACCCTCTGTAAAGATGGTGGAGAAGCTCTCGTGAGAGCTTGTCAGACTGTTCTGGAAGATCTGGGAAACTGAAAGTGTGTCCCACATATGGGGAGAATCGACCGTTACGACGATGCACAAAAAAGGCTGACGCAACGCCTGTTCCAACCACAGGGGCATAAGTCTGATTAAAACAGCGTTGAAGCTATTCATGTTCGTTTGATTACACAGACTAAACCCATTTCACGAAAAACAGATCTACAAAGAGTATGGCGGGTTTCGTGCATGCCGTGGCTGCATAGATCAAATCTTAGCCCTTCGTCAGCTACTAGAAAACGGCCACATATACAGACGAAACCAGAGCGGCCTTCGACTCCATCGATCGACCCGCACTGTGGAACTGGTTTCTGAGATACGGAGTATCCGGGACGTGTCTTACTCCTAAAAAGCACTCTATCGTCAGACCATGGGGAAGGTTAGGGCCTACAGTGAAGTTTCACCCTCATTTTCTGTCGCCAGTGGGGTGCGACAGGGTTGCCCTGTCTCTCCGTTTCTCTTTAACTTTGCCATAGATGATGTTCTACAAAACGTGCTAGTTAACGCAACGAACACTGGTGTCGAGCTTCTTCCTGGGGACAGAGCCGTGGACTTAGAGTATGCCAATGATATTGCCTAACGCGGTGACAACGCACCGTCGCTGAATCATTTGTAAACTGAGGTTACCCGTTATGACATGTCCTTCACACCTTCAAAGTGTAAGTTGTTGCAAGATTGGCAGGAATGCTTTCCCGCAAATTCGTTGGGTAACCACACTCTGGAAGTAGTCAGAAAGCTTTGTCTACCTCGGGAGTTGCGTAATGGCTGGCCGAGGAGTGGGAGGGGAGATATCTCAACGCGTAATCAAAGCTAGATTACCGTTTGCTAATCTGCGGCACCTCTGGCGACGGCGCGATATATATATATATATATATATATATATATATATATATATACAAAAAAGCTGTTTTCTGTATCATTGGTCATTCGATTCAACCATAGGGCAACCGAACAATCGCTTACAAACCCACCTTGTTTCTCGCCCCATCTTGTTCTCTTCAGAAAATGAAACTGAAACCTCTGCGTTGACCCTTTGATGCCGAGCTATTATGACTGGCTACTCCACTTAGATTCCGCGAGCATTGTACATTCCCATTGGTGACCGCTTCGTGAACGTGGTTCTGTGACGTTGCGCACGACACTTTTTTACGTTGAACCGGATTTTCCAACAATAAGGTATGGAATTTTGCTAAAACATTCTTCATTCTTTTGTTAACACAAATTGCCTATCTCCTGTTAAATGGAACTGGACTTGGGTTTTTACCTGCGTGTCACTTAAGCAGTGGACAACATCCTGTTACAA